AAATCAAGAGCCTTATTACTTATGGTCATTATACGCAAAACTGTTGCAATATTACATCACTATTAGACCTAATGGTTATTGCGGCACCAAAACTCAATATAATACAAACATTACTATATATCGTCTTATGTACATGATGTTTAACATAACACTCCCGAAACGCCTTTTGTACAACCTTAATATGGCTTAATACAAATACATCCTCGGGTATGTCTTTATACTTGGTTGTTGCAGATATTCATCATAATTAAACCTTGATACATCATAATAAGTATAAATCGAGATATTGGTTCGGCAAGAGCATTGTTAAAAAAAATGTCTGGTAGTCATTGAAAAATGTTAATTGTGTTCATAGAAATATACATGGGGTTCATTGATTGCTAGGTCTAGAAATCATATTTTTCCGAATGTATTCACATCATAAATCTTCCGCCTATATAAAATTAACACAAATCAAATTTATCCTATGACACACAACTTAACATTAACCGTTATTCATATTATTCATAGCAATACAACAGAAACAGTTTTCATACAAACTTGCATTAACAAAAATATGTGCTGTTATCGTTGTTTTCTGTACATAATCGTAATACAACTAGAGATGTGTTCATACAAACCACAAAGTCGTGAAAGTGAAGCACATACTTACTGCAGTTATCAACTATAATGTACATGATAATTGCTGCAAAGGAACTGAAAAGGTTTAAAAACAACCTTGCAATAAAGAAAATATCCTCTGAAATTATTAAGCTTTAATACGCGATTGTTGTAGCCGTACTACTAGAACAGTTTTCATACAATCTCAGAAAACATATATTCAAATTATTACGTAATGTACATGATCCTTGTAGCAAAAGAACTGAAAGAGTATTCATGAATCCTTGCAATGAAGAACATAAACGTTGTAAATATTTTTTTTTATATATATATGCATGACCATTGTAGCAAAACAAGTGAAACACTAGTCACATAGGCACTACATGTATACTCACCTGTAATTATTGTCTAATATACATGAATATTCTAGCAATAAAAAATGTAACATTTTGATAACACCTTATAATTAACAATATGTTTCTTGTATTTATTACCTTATGTACATAATCCTTGTAGCAATTAACTTAAACAGTATTCATACAACAAAGAAAATGTCCTCTGTTAATATATCTTATGTACATGATTATTGTAGCAGTGCTACAGGAATTTTTTCATACAACCTTATTTGAAAGCTAATATCTACCTAAATGTTTATCTTATGTAAACGATTATCGTAGCAAGAGAACTGAAACAGTATTCACACAACCATACAATAATGAAATGTCTTATGTTATTATAATGTACATTAAAGTTGTATAAGAAACAGCATTATAATACAGCCTTACAATACAGAAAATATATTGCGTAATTATAATGTACATTAGTATTGTAGAAGTCGAAATGAAACAGCATTTATACAACCTTACAATCGAGAAAATATATTGTGCCATTATGATGTTCATCAATATTGTAATAATAGAACTGAAACAGCTTCCATTACAACCGTACAATAAAGAACATATCTTACGCAACTATAATGAATATTAGTATTGTAGTATTAGAACTGAAACAGTATTCACACAACCATACAATAATGAAAATGTCTTATGTTATTATAATGTACATTAATGTTGTATAATAGAAACAGCATTATAATACAGCCTTACAATAAAGAAAATATATATTGCGTAATTATTATGTACATTAGTACTGTAGAAGTCGAAAGGAAACAGCATTTATACAACCTTACCATCAAGAAAATGTCTTGTGTTATTATAATGTACATCAATATTGTAGTGATAGAACTGAAACAGTATTCACACAACCTTACAAAAAATGATGTATTTACTACAGTTATTATCTTATGTATATAGTAATTGTGCTAATAGAACTGAATTCTTTTCACAAAAGGGTAACACTTGAATTTGTTGGGGTTATCAATTGCTTTCTGAAATGATCGTTTTAGTAAGTTAACTAAAATATTTTTCATGCAACATTAATATAAGTAAAAATATTTCTGTAGTCGTCATGCTACGCATAATATGAATGTAGTGATAGAACTGAAACACTTTTCACACAAACTTGTCACAAAGAACATATTATTGTAGCCATTACGACGACTAAACCAAATTTGATACATCTTAAAGAGACATGACTAATGGTCATGCCATTGTATTGAAAAGGAAACTGTCGATAGGTTATTGGGACTGTTTAAAGGTAGGGTTTATCAGAACAGTTGTAAATTAAAAATGTTATTTAATCGAAATAACATAGAATTCACTCAATTTTGCAGAAGGTCGCATGAGGTGTAAACACTGTGCACGTATGTGGCTTCAATATTGATTCCAAATTTTAAAAAAATTGCGATTATTTTTATTTACACGTATTTTATCTATTCATGTCTTCTTTAAAAAGTAGGGTAGTTCATTCAGTTAAAACAAAACTGCTTTACAATTACGCCCTCACTGCTGCAACATACAAAATATATGTACAACAACAATAACAAAATAGAAGAAAAACGTTTAGCATGAAATACTAGAAGAAAAAAAATGTACAAATATAAGTGAAATATACAAACCACAACATTGCGAGAGTTACAAAAGTAAGAAATAAACTTAACAAGTAATATAGGATAAAAACCATGTGATTATAACACATTTATATTCACTTTCAAATATTCATAAAATACTCATTTTCTGTCCGATTTCCTTCAATCCCTTACTAGTCTGCTTCTCTGATTGTTCTGCTTTCTTTTAGATAAATTTAATTTCAAGGTTGGATATCCCTTCAATCATTAAGGAAAGTTAAACAGAATCATTCTCATATGTAGCTTAACAACATTACTCCCAACATCATTGGCTAGGGAAGAAAACTGCACTTCGAGAGTGCGTACATCAAGTGAATCCCTTTTCGGTCGTTGGATGATGATAAACATTGCAAGGACATATGCTTGTCTATTTCTTTGCTGATTCCCATTTTTCTCTGACTTGTGCAAAGCGCCTCTTGGAGGTGATACTCACTAAAAGGAAATAGTGAAGGCGATGACAGAAAATTAAATAGTTTGAGTATTTGGAGTGTTACTTTACAGATTACATTCAAATTGGGGGAATAAAAGAAGGAAATTCAATTATTGGAATATTTAGAAATGCCGCTCACTGATGGTTCACATAAAATATATAATATTTATAGCTGCTGTCGTTTAAAAAATTACAGCCACGGATTAAGGTAGCGCTCCTAGGGTTGGGGGCATTGTGGTACATTGGTGGCTCTAGACTATGAAACGCCAAAAGGGCAATCAAAGCCTTGGTGTTCCATATTAGCCTGACTATCATATCCAAGGTTATATCCTTGCGGGGTTCTTACAATATAAGACAAGCTTGTTCCCCCAACTTACTAAATTCCTGTCGATGTGCATTAAATGGGTACCTACCAATGCTGGGGCAGGATTCGAAATAGTTTGAGCAAATAGCAGATCGCTTCTCCGAATAATAACAGTGAAAAGCTTTTCTTATAGCGCCTTTGCCTATAGTTTAGTGCAAGAAAGTTCAAAAATATATTATCGTTGCCATCTTTTGTTAACAATATAAGGGAACCTTTTTTAATTTTCAAAACCCGAAATAGTTGATAGTACTTAATGATTCACTCAGATGTGTGGCCCAACCAAGCATTTTAAAATGCCAGATGAAGTTTATATACCTGCTCACTAGGTCGAACCTTGTCTCCAATCACACATCACCACGCCAACGCATACACACATACCCAAGAGCGCATTTTTTGGACAAAGGGCAATTAATATAGTTATTTTCTTGGATTCATTAGTGATCTATAGAACCCTGCATATCTAAGTCACACCGCCATATAACGAGTTTACACAGACTTCAAAACCGATTAATTAGTAGTCTTGGCCGTTCGGAGAAGTTTAATTTGTTGTTGGAACTTCGTCGACCAGGTGTCGGTCTCATTGGGGTTATAGCCTCCTTTGGTGAGACTCACCTTTCTTAGTGTATCAGTTTCCTGCACAATTTTCTCGGTCTTGTAACAGAGTGTAATCGAGACACGTCTGACCATCAGTTGACTGGACATTGAGATTAGCTCCCTCAGAAACTAACTTCTCAATGGTAGAGGTTTGACCTTGTTGTATGGCGAGATGGATATCCCTTAAAACATTCTGGTCGAGCTGGATAAAAGTGAATACAGAGTGACAGACTTAAGAATATACAGAAATGCTACGAAGCCCAAATTTATGTAAACAATGGTCCGGGCTAATTGTTATCAATTAAATGCAATAATTCGAGTATATTTCAGGCACTCGTGGCATAAAAGAGAGTCTATGAAACATGACTAAGGTCTTAATTGTGTTTTATATACATGCTTAAAAAATATGATTGTGATAAAAACTCTTATTTCAGTTCTTAATATTTTGCATGTAAGAACTGTATGCAACCAAATAGATGAATCAAACATAAAGTGTGTATATAAAAAAAAAATTACGTTTGAGTCGGAACGGTCGATGAATAGATCATAGATGCTTCGGTACTGAAGGATTAAGGAGAGTTGTAGAGGTGTCCTGCCGCGAATGTCCCCTATGTCAAAACGTGCTCCTCCTGCCAGAAGGACTTTAACAACCTCAAGGTAATCATTCTGAACAGCATTGTGTAAAGGCGTCACACCATCATTATTTCCCTTATTCACATCAGATCCTTGACTGATGAGAAATTCGGTGACGTTAAGATGACCATTCTGAGCAGCAATGTGTAATGCACTCAAACCGTCATTATCTCCCTCATTGACCTCCGCTCCTTGACCAATAAGACATTCGGTAACATTAAGATGACCATTCTGAGCAGCTTTGTGTAATGCACTCAAACCGTCATTATCTCCCTCATTGACCTCCGCTCCTTGACTAATGAGATACTTTGTGACATCACAATGCCCATTGTAAGCAGCTTTGTGTAATGCAGTCACGCCGCAATCAGTTTCCTCATTGACCTCAGCTCCTTTACTGATGAGATATTTGGTGACATCAATATGACCATTGGAAGCAGCAAAGCCTAATGCAGTATCACCGTCTTTATTTTCCTTATTCACGTCAGCTCCTTGACTGATGAGATATTCGGTAAAATCAAGATGACCCTTGATTGCGGCAAGGTGTAATGCAGTATTTCCGTCATTGTCGCTCTTATTTACCTCAGCTCGTTGACTAAAGAGATATTTGGTGACGTCAAGATGACCCTTAATGACAGAAAAGTGAAATGCAATCTTACCGTCTTTGTCCCCCTTATTCACTTCAGCTCCTTGACTGATGAGATATTTGGTTACATCAAGATGACCACCGACGGCAGCACTGTGTAATGCAGTCCTACCGTCATTATCTCCCTTATTCAAATCAGCTCCTTGACTAATGAGATATTTGGTGACGAGATGACTACTGAAGGCAGCACAGTGTAATGCAGTCATACCGTCTTTATCCCACTTATTGACCTCAGCTCCTTGACTGATGAGATATTTGGTCTCCTCAAGATGACCCTTAATTGCAGCAAAGTGTAATGCAGTCTTACCGTCCTTTTCCCCCTTATTCACTTCAGCTCCTTTACCGATGAGATATTTGGTGACATCAAGATGACCCTTAATTGCAGCAAAGTGAAATGCAGTCTTACCGTCCTTGTCCCCCTTATTCACTTCAGCTCCTTGACTGATGAGACATTTGGTAACATCAAGATGACCACTGACGGCAGCACTGTGTAATGCAGTCCTACCATCATTATCTTCCTTATTCAAATCATCTCCTTGACTAATGAGATATTTGGTGACAACGAGATGACCACTTCTGGCAGCACTGTGTAATGCAGTCCCACCGTTTTTGTCCCCTTTATTGACCTCAGCTCCTTGACTGATGAGATGTTCCGTGATATCAAGATGACCCTTATTTGCAGCAAGGTGTAATGCGGTCTTACCGCCTTTTTCCCCTTTATTCACTTCAGCTCCTTGACTGATGAGATATTTGGTGACATCGGAATGACCTCCGAAGGCAGCACTGTGTAATGCCGTCCAACCGGCATTATTTCCCATATTCACCTCGGCTCCTTGACTGACGAGATATTCGGTGATGGCAAGATGACCCTTCTGAGCAGCCCTGAGTAATTCAAACCAACCGTCATTATCTCCCTTATTCATCTCAGCTCCTTGACTGATCAGATATTTGGTGATATCAAGATGACAATTGTAGGCAGCACAGTGTAATGCAGTTCTGCCGTCATTATCTCCCTTATTCACCTCAGCTTCTTGACTGATGAGATATTTGGTGACATCGAAATGACCTTCGAAGGTAGCACTATGTAATGCAGTCCTCCCTTCATTATTTGCCTTATTCACTTCATCTCCTTGACTGATGAGATATTTGGTGACATCATAATGACCATTGACGGCAGCACTGTGTAATGCACTCGAACCGTAATTATCTCCCTTATTCACCTCAGCTCCTTGACTGATGAGACATTCAGTGACATCAAGATGACCATTGTGAGCAGCTTTGTGTAATGCACTCGAACCGTCATTATCTCCCTCATTGACCTCCGCTCCTTGACAAATGAGATACTTTGTTACATCACAATGCCCATTGTAAGCAGCTTTGTGTAATGCAGTCACGCCGCGATTATTTTCCTCATTGACCTCAGCTCCTTGACTGATGAGATATTTGGTGACATCATAATGACCATTGGCGGCAGCACTGTGTAAGGCAATCGAACCGTAATTATCTCCCTTATTCACATCAGCTCCTTGACTGATGAAATATTTGGTGATATCAAGATGACCTTTAATTGCAGCTAAGTGCAATGCAGTCTTACCGTCTTTGTCACCCTTATTACCCTCAGCTTCTTGACTGATAAGATATTTGGTGACATCGAGATGACCACCGAATGTAGCACTGTGTAATACAGTTCTGCCGTCTTTATCTCCCTTATTCACCTCAGCTCCTTGACTGATGAGGTATTTGGTGACATCATAATGACCATTAACAGCAGCACTGTGTAATGCAGTCGAACCGTAATTATCTTCCTTATTCGCCTCAGCTCCTTGACTGATGAGATATTTGGCAATTTCAAGATGACCACTAAAGGCAGCACGGTGTAATGCAGTCCTACCGCCATCATTTCCCTTATTTACCTCAGCTCCTTGACTGATGAGATATTTGGTGACATCGAGATGACCACCGAATGCAGCAATGTGCAATGCAGTACTTCCGTCAATTGTTGCCTTATTCACCTCATCTCCTTGACTGATTAGATATTTGGTGACGTCATAATGACCATTGACGGCAGCACTGTGTAATGCAGTCGAACCGTAAATATCTTCCTTATTCGCCTCAGCTCCTTGACTGATGAGATATTTGGCAATTTCAAGATGACCACTAAAGGCAGCACAGTGTAATGCAGTCCTACCGCCATCATTTCCCTTATTTACCTCAGCTCCTTGACTGATGAGATATTTGACGATTTCAAGATGACCACTAAAGGCAGCACGGTATAATGCAGTCCTACCGTCAACATTTCCCTTATTTACCTCAGCTCCTTGACTGATGAGATATTTGGTGATATCAAGATGACCACTGACGGCAGCAATGTGTAATGCAGTCCTACCATCATTATCTCCTTTATTCACTTCAGCCCCTCGACTGAAGAGATATTTGGTGACATCGAGATGACCTTCGAAAGCAGCAATGTGTAATGCAATCAAACCGTCTTTACTTGCTTTATTCACCTCAGCTCCTTGATTGATGAGATATTTGGTGATATCAAGATGACCACTGACGGCAGAAATGTGTAATGCAGTCCTACCGTCATTGTCTCCTTTATTCACTTCAGCTCCTCGACTGAAGATATATTTGGTAACATCAAGATGACCCTTGAATGCGACAACGTGTAATGCAGTCTGTCCGTGGTTGTCTCTCTTATTCACCTCAGCTCCTTGACTGATGAGATATTTGGTGATCTCAGGATAACCTTTAATTGCTGCATAATGTAATGCAGTCTTACCGTCTTTGTCACCTTTATTCACCTCAGCTCCTTGGCAGATCAGATATTTGGTGACTTTGAGATGACCACCGAAGGCAGCCCCGTGCAAAACAGTTCTATCGTCATCATCTGCCTTGTTCACTTCAGCTCCTTGACTGATGAGATATTTGGTGATATCAAGATGACCCTTCTGAACAACCCTGTGTAATTCAATACAACCGCCATTATCTACCTTATTCACCGCAGCTCCTTGACTGATGAGATACTTCGTGACATCAAGATGTCCACTGACGGAAGCAATATGTAATGCAGTCCTACTGTCATTATCTCCTTTGTTCACTTCAGCTCCTTGACTGATGAGATATTTGGTAACATCAAGATGACCACTATTCGAAGCACGGTGTAATGCAGTCGTACCTGTATTACTTCCCTTATTGAACTCAGCTCCTTGACTGATCAGATATTTGGTGATATCAAGATGACCTTTAATTGCAGCAAAGTGTAATGCAGTCTTACCGTCTTTGTCACCCTTATTCACCTCAGCTCCTTGACTGATGAGATATTTGGTGACATCGAGATGGCCATTGACGGCAGCATTTTCTAATGCAGTCCTACCGTCGTTATCTCCTTTATTCACTTCAGCTCCACAACTGACGAGATACTTGGTGACTCTGAGATGACCACCAAAGGCAGCACTGTGCAATACAGTCCTACCGCCTTTATCTCCTTTATTCACTTCAGCTCCACGACTGATGATATATGTGGTGACATCGAGATGACCACCTAAAGCAGCAAGATGTAATGCAGTATTGCCGTCCTTATCTCCCTTATTCACCTCAGCTCCTTGAATGATGAGATATTTGGTTACATCAAGATGACCACTGAAGGCGGCAATGTATACCGCGGTCCTACCGTTTTTAGCTCCCTTATTCACATCAGCTCCTTGACTGATGAGATATTTGGTGATATCAAGATGACCACTGAAGGCGGCAAAGTGTAACGCGGTCCTACCGTTTTTAGCTCCCTTATTCACCTCAGCTCCTTGACTGATGAGATATTTGGTGATATCAAGATGACCCTTCTGAACAACCCTGTGTAATTCAATACAACCGTCACTATCTACCTTGTTCACCTCAGCTCCTTGACTGGTGAGATACTTCGTGACATCAAGATGACCACCGACGACAGCACTGTGTAATGCGGTCATTCCGTCATCATCTCCCTTATTGACCTCAGCTCTTTGACCGATGAGATATTTCGTGACATCAAGATGACCTCTGAAGGCCGCAGTGTGTAATGCAGTCGAGCCGTTTTTATCTCCCTTATTCACATCAGCTCCTTGACTGACGAGATATTCGGTGATAACAAGATGACCCTTCTGAGCAGCCATGTGTAATTCGAACCAACCGTCATTATCTCCCTTATTCACCTCAGCTCCTTGACTGATCAGATATTTGGTGACATCGAGATGACCACCGAAGGCGGCACCGTGCAAAGCAGTTCTGCTGTCATTATCTCCCTTATTCACATCAGCTACTTGATTGATGAGATATTTGGCGACATCAAGATGACCGTTTTTTGCAGCAAAGTGAAATGCAGTCCTACCGTCTTTGTCCCCCATATTAACCTCAGCTCCTTCACTAATGAGATATTTGGTGATATCAAGATGACCCTCGAAAGCAGCATGGTGTAATGCAGCCCTACTGTCATTATTTCCCTTATTGACCTCAGCTCCTTGACTGATAAGATATTTAGTGATATTAAGATGACCCTTCTGAGCAGCCCAATGTAGTTCAAACCAACCGTTATCATCTCCCTTATTGATCTCAGCTCCTTGACTAATGAGATATTTGGTGAAAACGAGATGACCACTGAAGGCAGCACTGTGTAATGCAGACCTACCGTCATTATTTGCCTGATTCACCTCAGCTCCTTGACTGATCAGATATTTCGCGACATCAAGATGACCTCTGAAGACCGCAGTGTGTAATGCAGTATCACCGTTATTATCCCCCTTATTCTCCTCAGCTCCTTGACTGATGAGATATTTGGTGATATCAAGATGACCACAGAAGGCAGCACGTTGTAATGCAGTCCTACCGTCATAATTTCCCTTATTCACCTCAGCTCCCTGACTGATGAGATATTTGGCGACATCATAGAGTCCGCTACAGGCGGCAATGTGAAATGCAGTCCAACCCTTATTATCGCTCTTATTTACATCTGCTCCTTGACTGATGAGATATTTGGTGACATCAAGATGACCATTCAAGACAGCTTTGTGTAATGCAGTTGTACCGTCATTTTCTCCTTTATTCACTTCAGCTCCTTGACTGATAAGATATTTGGTGACATCACAGTGACCACTGAAGGCAGCACTGTGTAAGGCAGTCCAACCATCTTCATCTGTCGTATTCACCTCAGCTCCTTGTCTGATGAGATATTTGATGACAACGAGATGATCACTGAAGGTAGCACTGTGTAATGCAGTCCTACCGTCATTATCTCCCTTATTCACCTCAGCTCCTTGTCTGATGAGATATTTGATGACAACGAGATGATCACTGAAGGTAGCACTGTGTAATGCAGTCCTACCGTCTTTATTTGCCTTATTGATCTCAGCTCCTTGACTGATGAGATATTTCGTGATGTTAAGATGACCCTTCTCAGCAGCCCTGTGTAATTCAGTCCAACCGTCTTTGTCTCCCTTATTCATCTCAGCTCCATGACTGATGAGATACTTTGTGACATCAACATGTCCATTGAAGGATGATCTGTGCAATCCAGTTCTACCTTCATTATCTCCCTTATTGACCTCAGCTCCTTGACTAATGAGATATTTGGTAACATCGAGATGACCACTGAAGGCAGCATTGTGTAATGCAGTCCTACCGTCATTATTCGCCTTATTCACCTCAGCTCCTACACTTATCAGAAATTTCACTATATTAAGTCTACCGTAACTTGCTGCAATTTGTAAAGAAGTCATGGCTTTAGTACTTCCCTGATTCCCTTCTGCTCCCTCACTGATAAAGATTCGTATTATATCTTGATGACTATCCTTGCATCGATGTATAATGCAGAGTAGCGTCCTTGTCTTCTTTGACCATACTAGCCACTTTCATTGCTTTAAGACGTCTGAGTGATGCAGCAAGATGTAAGGGTGTTTGTCCATCCGGATCCAGTCGCCTTCTTTTCATCAGCTCTATCAGGTTTATGATATACTCAATGACATTCTTCTGGTCTCTCTGGTTTGTGTTAGAACCCCGTTTTAGAAATTTTGTTTACGCTTTTCATTTTATCCCTCAATACTGCATCGCGGATCTCTGGTATACTTCACACATATTTGTTAATGTATCGCGGCATCACTAGATCAGAAAGTTGTTTGGTCGAAGAGAATTAAATCGTAGATTCTTTCCCTGTGATCATCTGTTAAACTGCCATTACTTTACACTATTGTGTAACAAGATAATACCTAGAGTAACAGTAGATTCGTTTGAATCTCGACCTGTTTTGCTCTATATGCACAGGCAAGCTTAATATATCAAAATTGTTAACCGCTTTAAGCAAATAAAAAGTTAATGATGAACACGATAAAGTTACTGACAATTAATGAATGACAAATCCGGAAAGAAGTGATAAAAGAATCAAAGTTTAGATTCATAACTCTTTGCAAACATCAATATGAAGCAACACACTATCTACTTTTTTCTTGAGGGGGGGGGGGGGTAGTCAAACCCGGGAGCCTATAAAATTGGATTTTGTTTCATATTTCACTCATCGCTTTTTAGGTCTAATTAGGTAATGGATTTTTGTTGTTGCTTTTGTTGTTGCTTTTGTTGTTGCTTTTGTTGTTTATTCATCATTTCTATAAAAGTTACATTAAACTTTCAAATTCAGTGTAAGCAGGTACGTTGTACAGTGACTTCGAGTAAACACCGAAAAGGTGAATTCCTCCAGCAGCAGATAAAGTTGAAACTACATTGTGATAAAAAAAGATGCAATACATTTATACCGACTTTGCAATTGCTCACGTTTTAACCCGTTGGCTACTGAATTATCTTATTCCCATAGGCTTAACACAGGGACCACCAGGTTCACGTAAGCAAAGGGTTAATAATCTCCCACACAGTCCTGATATACAAAATATATATGCTTCTTTAGGTATATAGTTCCTCATGGGAATGATGAGTCGTGTTGCCCCCTCCCAACCTCCCTCCGTCCTGGCCTATATCCTATCGTATATATATAGAAGGAATTAATAGTAGTATATTTTGGTCAGTTTGAAGTTCATGTACATTTTATTTAAAGGTCTGCTATAATATCAAATGAACAATATAGTTATAAACGCTCATTTTTATTCTCGATTCCTAAATATACTACCGAATATATAACCCACACTTGATACATGTTCTCATCAGAATTCAAATAATGCATAACAGTAGGCCTACATAAATCACCAGGTTCTTCAGAAAATGGCAACTCGTATTTTCTGTAGGTGTCAAGATAAAACATAATGATCAGGAGTGCTTCTAGAAGAGTATATATATAAGTGCGAGAATTCTCAACTCTGACATGATCTTCACGCCTATATAAACCTTTTTTTCGAGGGGGTGGTACGTCCCCTCGATTTCTTTCAAGCGTCCCCCTACCCCAGAACCGCTACCGCTTATGTTGACATTTGTGTCGTATCTGAACGTATCTGCAGTATACTAATTGAACTTTCGTCAATGACAGATTAGATGATTATGCCTAATCTATTAATTCATATCAATAACTTGAGTACCGCGTCCATATCAGTATGTAGGCTATGCAATGCTGTCTTTGATGAGTAATTTGTCAAAGTTGTTTTTGAAGTAGCTTATAGTGGTAATATTGTGTGCACATAATATTCTCCAATCATGCTTGCGAAACTGTTAGGTAATAAAGGCCTGGACCCTATTTCATAAATTAAGTATCAATAACAACAGCCACTGATCTATTCACAATTTTCTTAAAGCCCATCAAATGTAAGTATAGTTTATAACAATGATTGTAGGCCTACCTTACAGAAACTACATTTATGACACGGGGCCCTGTGAAGCCAAATAGAATGATACACCTATATCACAGTCTTCTGATATATTACAATATGTGTCTTTTCATGGAGGCTATACGCTTATTATATTAGGGGAGATCTTCATTTGTATTTTAAATTTCTGTGACTTCTTTCAATTTAATACAGTACGAAAAGATTAGAATATTATGATGTGCGCGCGTGAGTGTGTGTTCGTGTATGTGCGTGATTAACTGGTTGGTTCGGTCGAAATAAATATTAGAAAGTTATACATTTTTGAACTTGCGATAAAACACAAATTGGCACCTCCTTGACATATCTTGTGAGGTTCCCTCCCATTCTAAAAGATCATCAGGAATGTCTATCTTCCCTAAATAAATGGTTCAATTACACATGTAGGCATATCCTAAATGTAATTAATGCAATACATGTGTATGTTTCTATACAATGCCAGTATAAAACATATATTTCCAGTCATCATTAACTAAGAAAATGAAAGTAGATGTATATGAAATTCTGTACGGAGCGAATTGAATTGAAGAGGACCTCGCAAGATGCGTCACAGGGTTTTCGATTTGTGTTTCACTGACAACTATACAAATTCATAACTTTCCTACTTTTAATCGGATATTGCTCAAACTTTCACTAATCTGTTGTTCTTGATGTTCCGCTTTCATTAAAGGTAATTGAAGGGGAAATAGCAAATCGGCGGATTGTAGTCAAGAAACATTTTTTTAAAGATAAAGTAATATCAGTCTTGAGAGGGAGCTATACAAGATAAAGAGTTTATTATTAATAATTTAATATTTAATTTAATAACTTTGTATTACCTTTTATACCAGCTAATTATATGGGTGAACTTCCCCTTTAAAGCCTATCTGGCTTTGGCATGGAGGGATTACACCTCCCTGCGAGGTCACTGACAGGTGGTTATCTCATCAAATTAGTAACATTGTGTTGTAACTTAAGAAAACAATTTGTACATTAAAAAAAACAATACATGACGCAAATATCCCTCTCTTTAATTGACTTTTCACAAAGTACGATAGAACTGCATAAGTTATCTAGAGAGTCTTCGTTTTATTTCATTTTCAGGGAGAAAACATATGTGTTTTACAAACGATAGGTAACTACATAGAATATGATCGCAAATGTTTTCGAAAAAACAACCTAAGGCAGTGTTAAAGATAAAGTTGAGTTCTGGTCATGCGATTGCATTGTGAAAAAAAGGTGTGGAATGGATCAGAAAAAGTTGATCATGTAGCATGTAAGTATTGGTGTGTACTGCAAGGTTCTATAGTCATCAAAATCATAATAAATTTGGTAAAGTAACAAGCACTGTACACAGAAAGATGTATATGGGACTACACAATGGTGTCGGGCGGGTTACCAACCTTGATTTCCTTATCTTTCTATGCTCATTACTCAGCCAGTATACATTTTCTACCAAAATTGTTTGGCAAATGACATTTATTTGTAATCTTGAACATTCAGTGTAAGTTTCGTTTGATTATGTGAGAATTGTTATTTTTATCTTTTTTACCAGAACTCAAGTTTATCTTTAACAGGATTGTGCGTCACATACATGTATTAAAACGTGTGAACTTGACACTGAAGTATGACGTAATCCGAACATGATTTCTATCCAAGGGATTTACAACAGGGACCCGTTTCACAAAGCCTTTTTTCAATGACAAATGACAAATACCAGTGACAAATCTGCTGATAACCAATCAGAAGCAAGGATTTCAGTAGCTTTTAACAAAAAATGTCATATGTCACTGATGACCAGTTCTGTGAAACACCCCCTGGTATCAAATTCGCCCTTGAGTTGATTTGTCAAAAATAGTTGTGATCGTGTTATAGCTGCGTACAAAATATATAAATCGCATAAAGGAGACTCTTCAATACTAACATATTTGTATCCGCAAGTTAAAAAGAAATGATACATAATATACAAAATAATAATACACATCAGTGGGGGCATTAGTAAGAATTACCCACACGAGGTACCTTTGGAACAGTCTAACACGCCCGAGGCGATAGTCGAGGGTGTTTGGACTGTTTTGAAGGTACCAAGTGTGGGTAATTTTACTAATGCCGGAACAAAATGATGTGTTTTATTTCTTTTATAACATGATTTTGATAATTACCGTTCATTACCATTGGATAATGAGTGGTCATTATCCAAATTACGCGTTATTCAAAATAAATGCCTGGCCATGCACGTGGACGCTTTCAACCAATCATTTGATTATGATCCACGTCATCATCTTATAAAATCAATGAATGAAATTTCGGACAGAACTGAGTTCTAAATAAAGCATTAATAAGACGTCATAATTTTAAGCGCCCTCAGTTTTCCCTTTCTCCCTGTAATAAAAACACAGCATTATGATTGTGAACAATGTAATAACAACATTTGGAAGATCTTCGTAGTGTGGATAGAATCGGTATTAAAAGCATCGCGTCTACCCTTTGAGATATATTCATTGACAATAGATAAAAGTTAATATATTTTCAGAACTTTACTAATCAATCTAATGAGTCACAGAGATTGATCAATAACGTTACGAGAAGATATAAACGTTATCTAGCAAGAATATTTCATATTCTCACAATCCATTCATGAAAATAGTTAAGAAAAAAAGTTTTCAAACTTGAAACATTATCCCCTTTTCTATAAGGGGTACACCTTAGCTTGAGATGTGGTGATTGATTTCATATTTCGATGGAGAAATGGCTTAAGATGCAATATGCTGTATATTTGGACCTAAAAATGTCAAGTTTGTTTGTTTGTTTTTATTTCCGAAATCCAAATATACATGTACATACAAGTTTTAAAAACATACATTTAAAACACATTTCAAATGATAACGGAAAGTAAGAAAATGACTTGTGTTAAATTCAAATTCAAATCAAATCATTTATTTCCAAATTCAACATCAGTTAAAAACAATGTGTAAAAAACAGTCAATAGGCAATAAAAACATTGTAAAACTATGACATTTCAATCAAACGATTAAGAAGAAGACAAATCAAAACAAGTATAGCAATAAAAGAGAAACAAGGTATAGGCTACATTAAAAACATAAGTGGATAATTGGAAAATGGTGTACACAATAAAAGCCAGGTTTTTGACTTGTTGGGGGTGTGTTCACTTAGTTTTTGCATTTGTTTGTTTTTACATTATTATTATAAAAATTAGATATCGGTCGAACAATACATAAAACGTATAGACAAACGGTTGGATAGCCCATTTCAGGACCATTTTCAAAATGGTCGTGTTCTTCCATGGGGTCCAAAGCAAAACGTCAAATTAATTTACATACAATATCAATTTTTGATCATAGTAATTTACCAATTACAATTTACCATTTAAAGTAACAGTGACTGCCCGGATTCATATTAACTAAAAACTTCAAATAATAATTTTAGACAACTATGACCAAGTCTTTTGCACGTGGGTAGGGATGATTAGCTCCATTTCATCGTTTGTTTTAGTTTTTGTTTCATTCAACATTTATAAATTGTTTACCAAAACATTTGGCAGATATCATTTATCACCATAGAGATTGAGTGTAGGTTCCTAAGGATTATCTGAGAATCTATTTTTCCTTATTACCGTACCTCAAGACTGTAGGCTTATATTGAATGAGTTTTTCTGTCATTTTCATTCTCTTGCTACAGCACATGTCATGTAGGGAACAGGGTTCCTTGATATACCCAATACTCCTTCAAAAGAAAGAGTCGGTGAGTCGTCAGGTTTCTTGAAAGTGAATCGGTGAAGGAGGCTTGTGAAACCCAAGAATGTTTCCATCCGGGCTAGCTGCTCTCCGATACAGACACGGCGACCTGGGGATTATATGAACAATGATAATGGGAGAGAGAGAGGGGGAGTGAAAGAGAGAGGGATAGAGAGAGAGAGCGGGAAAGAGGAGGAGGAGAGAGAGAAAAAAAAGGGGGGGAGAGAGAGAGAGCGAGAGAGAGGGGGAGGGGGAGGGGATGACGGACAAGGTGAAATAAATTGGATTTATTAATGAATAATTGCACAAATTGAATGTTACCATCATCGTCAGCGTTTTCCGTTTTACGAGGGGAAACATGCAATGATGACACTCCCATCCTCCACTTCTTCTTGCCTCGAGCTTCCTGTTCAATAAACCAACCTTACACCGTGAGGGCGTTTAATAAAAAACTTGTCATCAGTGACAAATGACAGTTTTTATTATAAGCTGCTGTAATCCTTGCTTCTGATTGGTTATCAGCAGATTTGTCACTGATTTTTGTCATTTGTCATTGAAAAAGGGCTTTGTGAAACGGGCCTCATATCTTTCCATGAAATCTTCGAGCTCCCTCTTAATGCCATCAACTTCCAGTTCACATGCTCTTCTCACATGTTCATCATCCCCTCTTCTCAACACAATGACCCATCATCCCAATACACTTCTCTTTACCACTTCCACCACAGTTTCTTCCAGACCCCACAATTCCATGAGCTCTCTTGTGTTCTAAAATCGCACAGTTTCACACCGCACATCTTCCGAATTATGGTTCTTTCTCTTCTCCTCAGTATACCCTCTTCTACTGCCTTCACATTCCTGGGGGTGTTTTACAAAACTTGTCATCAGTGACAAATGACAGTTTTTGTTATAAGCTACTGAAATCCTCGCTTCTGATTGGTTATCAGCAGACATTGTTATTGATTATTGTCAGTTGTCATTGAAAAAAGACTTTGTGAAACGCCCCCAGGTTTCTGAACCATATACAATCGCTGTTCTAACACAAGCATTACAAATCTTGCCTTGTATTCTCATCATAAACCTTCTACTAGTTAGGATCGGGGCCAGCTCATTTAACTCCATCCACCCCAATCTGCATCTTCTTGCCACCGCAATCTCACACCCACCACCACTGTAGCCTTTTGGCCAAGGTCTCGTGACTCTGGCTATTTTCCACCTAAATCAGCGGCTGAGATGAGTCAAGAGACCCAGGGTGAACGCGCGATCGAGTGGCGTTAGCCGCCACTCGCTCTGCAGCCGTTCACTCGGGTTTTCGCGATTAGTCTCTTTTTAGTCGCTCGGCGTCTATCAGACATGCAGCCTTGTCTAAAGGCTACCACTACTGTTGATTGTATCCCAAAGTTAAAAATAAACCCATCAACCCTCTCAACATCTCATATATACTATGTACATCCCTTCTAGCTCCTCCACTACTCAATTAAAGGGAATGGGTCATGGCAAATACTGGTTATCGCCGTCTACGTCTTATTTTGGACAACTGCACGTTATCGAAAGGGACTTGATTAACTGGGTCAGCGTGCGCTAAACCGGGTCAGTGCGCATTAGCGTTGGCGAAACAGACGACTCCTCACGCTTCGGTTTTGCATATATTGCACGCACGCGAATGCTGCGGTCGCATCGTCCGTAGTCGTATTACCCGATTGGCCCCGGGTAGGGCCACGGGAAAGACACATAGTCTAGTCATGACACACTCCCTTTAATAATCTGTCTGCATTTCTTGCCCTAAAAAGTCTTAGCCATTATGTTGGTAATTTTCTTGTTTTTATATCAAAATGAAACATGCCAGTTGGTCATTGGGCTTAATTTTACATCATCAAAAGTTTGATAAAGCAGGTTGTATTGGTCTTTTGTCCGAGAGGATATATTATGTGTTTCGTAATACTTCTCACGAAACGAATAACTGCCAATAGACTTGTCTTACCAGTGCTGAAGAAGATGAGTTCATCTCTCTTGATAAGCTCTCCATCTGCGGTCAGAAACCTCTCAGGTTCGAAGGCCCCAGAGTCTTTCCAAAGCTCCTCGCTATTCAGCACCTCGAAAATGTTGGACACAATGATGGCGCCCTTCGGTATGGTGTAGCCTCGTATGGTGGTATCCGCAGCAGCCACATGGGGCACACCTAGTGGGACTACCACACCCTTCCGTTGGACCTTGGACAAATAAAAATCCGGATTACAACCAAAAAAACTCTGATAAACAAAACAATAAATTAGTTTATGTTTACTTAAGGAATTAAAGATTGAATTAATGGAGGGGGTCATGTGCCAGTTGTCCACCGCGGTGGAAATACTGTCCATATGTACCCCCCCCCCCCCATCCCGTGTCTCTCATCCCTATGTTCACCCAATGACTTAAAGGTACTATGTCCCATTTCCAGGCCCAAACAAATGAAAAGGTTAAATTCCAAAGGCATTTGAAAGACAATACTAATTTAAAACTTCCCTAAAAAAAGGGGCTTGAAGTGAGAAAATAACGACTATTAGTTTGTCGAATCGACTTAGGAGCTATAGAGCCAGTGAGTAATAGTCTGATTTTTGGACCATTGTTACCGAATGGTCGTACGTTTTATGCTGCGCAAAGATTCAATCAGTTTAATTTTGGCCATTACAAGAAGTAAGTTATTGATGTAGACAAATGCTCATGTACCCTTTACAGGTCATTCTATGTATGTTATTACCAAAGATGAAAAAAGCCAGTCAGTCACTCAATCGTGTCCGATAGTGAAGTCTAGCAAGTAAACAGGTTTCCTTGCATAATTTAAATATTAGGACACTGCCAACTTTTGAATTTCACAGATAGGCATACATGACATATTCACAATTCCTTCAAAGTCCTACAGAATTTGATGTTGGCTGCTAAAGGGACATAGTATCTTTAAGGCAAGTATCTGGTATGCCAAGATGTCCTTTCGTCTCCCGAAGCCGAACCCGTACTTATTCCTTGGGGATACAGAGATGGTAGGAAACATCATTATGAGCATTGATTAGATATCCCGTTCTCTTCAAGTTGATTACATGTTGTTGTTGTTGTTGTTGTTATTTATTTATTTATTTATTATTATTATTTTCTTTTTTTTTTGGGGGGGGGGCGGTTGTTGTAATACCTTTCAAGGAATAATTTAAATGGCAGCCGCTTTCTTAAGGAAGAGGGGGATCCGGTTTTGTCAAGTGGGCGGGGATCCCCTCCCCTTCTTTTTCTCCCTCTAATTTGAAACAAAATAACTTAAGATCTACCTCTAAGATAACGGCATTGGTGTAGGGAAGATCTTTGATATCATCCAGCCTTGGGATTCGTTCTCTGCCAACCACGTGATCAAGTTCATCTTGAACACGTGACTGAACCTGTGGGTAGGCCATCATGTAGAGGATGCACCACTTTAGGGTAGTAGTTGTCGTGTCAGACCCAGCGGAGAAGAGGTCGGCGATACAAACGGTTAAATTGAGTTTGGTGAATGAAGAAACTGTGTCCTGAAAGCAAACGATAGAAAGAATACACCAGTTTACGGTTATGGGCGCCATTTTAATTTACTAGTAAACAAACCAAATGACCTCTAGAGGCCAGTGGTTTGTGCGTAAATTAAGATTGCGCCAATGCAAATTATGATGACATCACTGCCTGCGCGCTGCGTTGTGCGCGCACATCATCATTTGCATGGGCGCAATCTTAATTTACACATAAACCACTGACCTCTAGAGGTCATTTGGTGTGTTTACTTGTAAATTAAAATATTGCCCATGTCTGCGCATGCGCACTGTTGTAACCGTAAACTGGTGTATTGCCTTTGATAACGATTGGGTAATAATGCCGCCTGAAGAGAACATACAATTTTCTGGTGAAAATTGCAAAACGTGTCACAAACAGAATTGTAACAGGTGATTTGGATAGCATCTCATAATTCACAAGACATGACATATTTTTCACACTTTGAATTTATTTCTTCTGATTTTGTGCAAGTATCCACAGTGAATAATGCAATAATACATGTTGGATGCAGAAACACTTTAATAGTACGGACTTTGTGGACAAACTTTGGTTGTCCCGTGAATTATACATCCTTCTTTAACTTTTATCATGCCACATGGCTAATCCCCATTGTGCCAAGCCCCAAATCACCCAGTGCCAAGTTTATATTGAGATAATCTGATTAACGCGATGGTTCTACTATAGATAGCGCGTGTAAAACACACATCACACTACAACTAGCATGAACAATAATTGCTACTACGAATGTGTGCACGCACGCACATGGCAGCATAGCAATGGTTTTCTCGCATGTACAAAACACTATAACGATAGCGTGCATGCAGACTTATGGCAGGCTATGAGTTAAAAACATGTTGGTCCTACGTCCCATTACAAAGTTGAGGGCGGGAGTAAGTTTTAGGGTAAAGGTGAATTATAAGGTTAGGTTCAGTGTTAGGATTGGACCAACGAAAAGCAGAACAAATTGAACGTATAGGAACCATAAATCGCATGACCACTGTAACAAAAAATTGTAGAATGTAAACGCATTTATCTAAGTTGTTGGTACGTTTATGCTCAACTTTTTTTGGCCAGAATGAGGCACTTGTTACGCGTTTAGTTCAAAACACGGTTGCATCCTTTCTCATTTTTGTAGAATCACCGAAAAACGGCGATCGGTAACTTACAAAAAGGATCGGCGATTCTGCAAAATCATTTGTAAACGCGTTTAAATGGGGTCAACGTAGCTTGCGCAGTGCAGGTTTGCGAATCAGGCTGCAGAGCCAAAATCGTGCCTGGAGGAGCCAGAGGAGTGAGCATAAACAGTACACCGTATAACTGCGATTACGATGAGCGTTTACGATGAGCGTTTCAAATCTCTCATTCTGTCTACAAAATTGAGCATAAACGCACTCTTTTGCTTTTACTCACCTTGGTTTCATCCAACTTATTGAGGTACTGGTCGATGAAATCCCTCTGGCTATCTGGATCCCGATTCTTTTCATGAGACTCAATCTGAGACTGGATGAAGGCGGTGAAGGTCCGAATGTTGTCTGTGAAGAGCTTCATTTTACCAAACGGAATCTTGGAAATACCAGGAATTGGCAGAAACACAAACGATCCGCCCCCTCCTGCCAATTGTACATTCATGTTCACCAGGTCCAAAATCTATATTAGAGGAAATAAGAATAATGTCTTAGGCTTAGAATGATGTCTGTGACAATGAGGAGAACAAAGCTCTTACTGTCTTATATAAAAAGTTGGAGGAACCTGAAATAACGCCCGGAAGCAAAAATATGCCCAAGTCTAAATCGATTTTTTTTTCTAGAAAGGTTATTGCGTTAGGGAGTGAGGGGAACAGAGGGAAGGAGCAAATGACGAAAGGGAGGGAAAGAGAGAGAGAGAGAGAGATAGAGAGAGAGAGGGAGAGAGATAATATGGGTGACATAGAGTCCGCCTTTAAACCATTTTGACTAAAATTGATTATCTTTAAAGGGAGTGTATCATTGGAAATAGTGGTTAACGCCATCTACGTTTTCTTTTGGATAACTGCACGTAGACGAATGGACTTGATTAAAGTCACATAGAAGTCAGCTCTCATGGGGAATTCGACACCGTTCGGGTGTTTACCCAATAACAGGTGTTGTCAATAACCAGGGTTAGCCTTGAGTTTTATTACCATTAGACCTTATGTAATGCTTTGCTTTTCCTTCGCCCGAGAAATCTCCGAGCATGCTCCGAGAGACTAGGGGGTAATTCTTGACTGGCCACCGGGTTTGCTGTGTGCAGATTTGTACTCCCATTAATGGTATTTCCACCAAGTCTGGTGTCAGCGAATTACGACCTTCTGCACATGGAAACTGACTACCCACTACCTTTAACTGGGTCAGTGCGCGCTAAACTGGGTCAGCGCGCTAGCGTTCACGAAACAGACCGAAGTTCACGCTTCTGTTTCGCGTATGTTGCACGCACGTGAAATGCTGCGGCCGCGTCGTCCGTAGTCGTATTATACCCGATTGGCCCCGAGTAGGGCCACGGGGAAAGACACACAAGGGGCTTTTACATGTACACGACGAGAACGTGGACCGCCACGTGTGACATCCTTTTAAGGTAATGTGACGTCCTTTTAAGGCACTGCCGGGCACGGCCCAGTGCCTTAACACAATGTCACACGCGGCAGTCCACGCTCTCGTCGTGTAAATCTAAAAGTCCATATAGTCTCGTCATGATACACTCCCTTTAATATGAATTCATAAACTGTCATTCAAGTACTGATGTGACAATCCACAGGGATTGTCAGTGAAAGTCAGGATGATACACATTCAGCTTACTTTGTTGAACGCGGCGTCGTCGTATGTGTACTGTGTGCCGAAGACAATAGAGCAAATGACGTTGGAAATGGCTTGCATAAAGTGAGTGCTGGGGTCAAAAGGAGAACCTTTCTTTTCTTTGATGACTGAGCAAAGCTGGGTCATCTCGGCTGCTACGGTATCCTCATAGCTCTTCTTACCAACGCCAAGACTCCGGAATACAGAGTGGGTGAACTTACGCTGCTCCTTCCAGACTTCTCCGATAGAAAGTACAATACCTTTAGAAGATACCAAACATGGAGTTTATCATGATGGCGCTAGGATTGTCATGGTTATATATATATATCATAATTCAATCTGACCACAAAAAAAAAATACAAAAGAAGAGTAGTGGATTAGTGACGGGGCTTTAAAGATACTGTGTCCCTTTTACAGCCAACATCGAATTATGGAGAACTTTGCAGGAATTATGAATATGTCATGTATGTCCTATCTGTGAGATTTAAACGTTAGCAATGTCCTAATATTCAAATTATACAAGGAAACCCGTTGATTTGCTAGACTCCACTGTCAGTCACTATAAAGTGACTAACTGGCTTTTGTTCCTTATTTTATAGGAATAACATACATAAAATGAGCTGTTAAGTGTGCATGAGCATTTGTCTACATCAATAACCCACTTCAAGTAATGGCCAAAATTAAACTGATTGAATCTTTGCGCAGCATAAAGCGTAAGACCATTCAGTACAATGGTCTGAAAATCAGACTATTACTTAATGGCTCTTTAGCTCTTAAGTCGATATGACAACTAATAATCGTTATTTTCCCACTTAAAGACATTTTCAAGCCCCCCCCCCCCTTTTTTTATGGAAGTTCTAATTTAGTATTATCTTTCAAATGCAGTTGGAATTTAACCTTTTCATTTTTTGGCCTGCAAATGGGACATAGTACCTTTAAGCATGGACCTATTACGGATGGACATTCAACGTGATTTTTTTTTTTGATCCAATGATAGTCGCCGCCTTCTGATTATGTGCATCTTAATGTGAACATTCAGCTATTCTAACAATACGACTGCGTAAGCATTTTCGGTCATTGACAAAGGAGCAGTTTCCCTCTCTTGGGTTTTGTTTGGATGGTGTGCTCTGTAAGAGTGTGTCTTATTATGAAAGCATCCCCAATGGGGAGCAGCAAAGTTGAAAAGCAGACGATTTTGGTGATATGAAATGTATTATTACTGATTCACACACTTTCGCACACACCCATGACCTTATAAAACAGTTAGAATGCCATGATCTTTATAAGCACTGTGCTTTGTAACTCTGGAATATTATGAGGAAATAGGGGGAAACGGGATTTTAAATCACAACCCCAAAATCCAAAAATAACCTCTTACTTGTTTTTCAAAATAAAATACATGTACAGTACACGGAACAGTAATTTCCGATTATAAGTCAGAACTGCACATTGATTTTCCATGATTTAGGCGAGTTGTTATCTTCTGCGCATGTAGATTAACATGTGTAAAATCACTATCTTGATTCTGTCCCGGCTTTTTGGTGGTGCCCATCATGAGATCAAAGTGACGAAACATGTACGGAATGTTATTGAGATGACATTGACGGAGACAATCACAATGAATTTGTTAAGAAAACGATGAATGTTCATCCGTAATGGGTCCATGCTTTAAAGGTCCTATGTCCCATTTGCAGGCCCAAAAAATGAAAAAGTTAAATTCCAACTGCATTTGAAAGATAATACTAATTTAGAACTTCCCAAAAAATGTGGGGCTTGAAAATGTTTTCAAATGGGAAAATAACGACTATTAGTTGTCAAATCGACTTTAGGGCTATAGAGCCCAAAAGTAATAGTCTTGATTTTCAGACAATTGTACCGAATGGTCATACGTTTTATGCTGCGCAAAGATTCAATCAGTTCAATCTTGGCCATCACAAGAAGTGGGTTATTGATGTAGACAAATGCTCATGTACCCTTTACAACTCTTGTCATGTATGTTATTACCAAAGAAGAAAAAAGCCAGTCAGTCACTCAATAGTGTCTGACAGTAAAGTCTAGCAAGTAAACGGGTTTCCTTGCATAATTTGAACATGAGGACACTGCTAACGTTTAAATTTTACAGATAGGACATACATGACATATTCATAATTCCTGCAAAGTTGTACAGCATTTGAGGTTGGCTGCAAAAGGAACATAGTACCTTTAAGAGAGGTTCGCAAGATCCCTTGATGATGTTCGTTTATTTATTTTTATATTTTCCTTTCAGGAGACGTTTTCGTTTCTATATTTAAGAAAAGAAGTTAAGCTAATTATGGTGAATACTCGGATGGATCTCGTCATTTCCATTCGAGGTATGGGAGTTCCTTTGATACTCAAAATTATTATACGAAGTGCTATCCTCCATTGCACTGGAATAAGCGAGTTCATGGTTGCAGTCTGAGCATGAGCAGATCAAGGTCATTGCAGAACAAATTGTGAAATACGCGAAGACGAAATACATGGAGACGAAATACTGGATACGTGCTCATGAAAGTTATGTAATCGTTATTCATTCTTGCACATTCAGTGCACTCAATGATACACAGGTGGAAGTATTTTTTCAAAAGGGGAAAACAAAGGCTATAACATAGCACCTACATCGATGTAGGAGTGCCTATGTCAAAGAGTACAAAGTGGGGCCTTTCCACTATATGTTGAAGATCTGTGAATTTTCGGGGTCATTTGGGACATGTGCTAACCGTGAACGGGTCTATTGTATTAAATCCTTACCGCTGTTCTTTAATCCCATTATTTCTTGAAGTATTCGGCTGTTCAGTCGATCTTGGAGATCGGGATGACGAAAGGCTTCGAAGATGACTGGGTAGGAGTTGAGGATGATGATCGGCTTTGGACCAACGTAGAAGGATACCATCTCACCGTACTTCTTGGACCATGATGCGAAGAGAGCAAGAGGATTCGACCCACCCCTGCGATTAACAGGAAATTATTGCAAAATATATTTCGGCAACGGAGTCAAAATTTGAAGAATATGGTAGAAAATACGATATGGACATGAGAAATAGAAGGGGCAGTGAGAGAGAGAGAGAGAGAGAGAGAGAGAGAGAGAGAGAGAGAAAGAGAGAGAGAGAGAGAGATGGTGAGAGGGGAAAGATATTTAAATAGATAGGTAGCTAGAGAGAGAGAGAGAGAGAGGGTGTGTGTGTGTGTGTGTGTGTGTATGTGTGAGAAATGAGGGAGAGAGAGAGAGAGAGGGAGAGAGATGGGAGATGGGAAAGGGTCTAATAGTTGTAGCTGAAGGAGTTGGATTGATTGAAAATGGACTTAAGATAAAGAGAGAGAGGGGGAGATCGAGAGAGAGAGAGAGAGAGAGAGAGAGAGACAGAGAGAGAGAGAGACAGAGAGAGAGAGAGAGACAGAGAGAGGCAGAGATAGAGAGAGAGAGAGAGAGAGAGAGACAGAGATGGAGAGAGAGAGTGAGATAGAGAGGGAGAGAGAGATAGAAGGGAGAAGGAAGGCGGGAGAAGAGAGAGAAGATTGAGATAGAGAGAGAGAGAGAGAAAGAGAGGGGGAGGGAAGATAAATTATATAGGTTTTAGGTACACAAGGGGGTTTATAGCTTGTAAAATACTGTAATGAGAAACACGTACTTGACGAATTGCCACGCTACACCCAGGAAAGGTAGTCCAGTGGGGCCTGGTGGAAGGTTCTTGGGCCTGGTTAGCAGATGTTTGACCAACCAAGCTACGAGAAGACCAAGTACTCCAGCAAGCAACCAATAGCCCGGTTCCGTCCCTGTGAACCCCATGATGGACATTGATGAATCTAAAGAACAGATATTTAATATTATATCATGCATCAACAATTTATTGGTTTTTTGATTGGTTGAGAGCTCGTCACGTGACCAGAAATATTTTAACTATTTTAAGGTTGCTTTAAATCAGTACTTTATGAGAGTACTATTTGGGAGTTGAAAAAAAATCCCTCTCAAAACAGTGTATATTTGTATACTAAATGCATCACTATTAATAAAGGTAAAACGTATAAAATAGGATCTTCATTAATGCTAATCTGAAGCACATGAAGTATTGCCGTAAGTCAACCCTTTATAGTAAGCAAATAATTAACGTTGGTGAAGGTGATGGGACAAACTATCACTTCCGAGGCGATCTGGATGCAGCTATCTTTCCGAAGGGAAGCTGAGAAAAGAACTTGTTGTTGTAGTTAAAGTAGTTCCAAGATAGACGTATTCATCAACAACTTCTACAATATCATCATCAAATAGTTCGCCATAGCTCACTATAGTTCACCATAGTTCGCGCGTGACCAAAGTTCGTGTAACACTCTACACAGTGTAACGAACCTTTCTTCTCCCATCAATGATAGGCGAACTATCTTTCATCACGTGATTTACTTTTGACCAATCGTAGAGCAAGATTCTTAGTATGTGGAATATAATTACCACTTGATGTACACTAATTTGAAATCCAGAACGATTTGTCGGTTATCCATGGAGCTTGAAAAACTGAAGTCAATTTAACGGATGAGATTAGTCTTTATCTATCCTCTTGCGATTATCTAAGCGTCCCTTGTCATGTTGTTCAGAAGAGTATAATGCATTGTTCTCCAAGTTAGTGTCAGACTATACATTTTCTCTCTACATGATGTCTGCACAAACACTTAAATATTTTTTCCCAGAAAGGGGGGGGGGGGGGAGGCTTGAAGGTTCTTGCATTCATTTTCCTACATGTGCCTCGCTTAAAGTAATTTATAATCAATAATCATTTTGTGGTGTGGGGGGGGGGGGGGCTGAGCTCAAGCTCCCGTTCAGAACCGCGTCTGGCGTTCAAGTCATTTACATAAAGGTGTGAAGCAGAATGTGTACGGTAACTGGATTTAAACGATTATGTTCCAGCAACTACTGATCCGCTGACACTTTATAATTCTAGTCGAATCCCAGATTTCAGCAGTGGAGCAAACAAAACTTACCATCGACCTTTGATTTAGAATTAAACCAATCCAAGTGTAAATAACAACGATACAATAAACTCTGTATTTTTGATGTAATATAGCCTGGAGTATAATGTCACATCAAGGAATTTCAATGGCTCTTCTAGAATCTCCTTGGTCAGATTCAGACCGCCATTGTTTGACCAACGTGTCAACAATCAAACTAACATTGGTAGTGGTTGTTATATGTCCTGACTGCTAAGAAAGCATAAATGATTGTAAGTAAGCAACCAGACGGCTGACGGCTTTAGATCCTCTCCGAGGGACCTGGTAATGAAGATTAATGTCTTACCAAAGGGCACTGGCGCAGTCGCCTTGGTTTCGAACCCGGGTCGCCGGATTACGAGACCACTGCTCTACCGACTGAGCTATCGCGCCTCCTCTTGCCAACGCAGATTGTAGAGTTTTAAAAATGTCTCCATTATTTACAAATCGCTTCGCTCATCATGATAATAATAATAATAATAATACATATGATTTGTAAGACGCCAAATCCACTTGACAATCAAATGCTCAAGGCATCATGGGATGACTTCAGAAGCGGTTGTAGAAGATTTTGTTTTACTTCTTCGTTTTGGATTGGGTGGGGGGGGGGGGGGCTAGGGAAGGCTTGGGCGTTATTACATATATTTTATACATGTGCCTCACGATTTATTTTCTTTCTCTTGTGGGGTGGGGGGGGGGGGGGGTAGTCAATTGAGCCCCAGACTGCGGCCCTCTAAAACCGCTATTGGATAACGTATGCGAAATCAAGATTCTCAATGTCTAATCTCAAAATGAAATGATAAATATGAAGCACATAACACCTCTTTCATCCGTTCAACAAAGTTAAACTAACTATGCTAGTCAGTATTCTTGCGATTGGAAAAAAACTGTTTTGCATCTAGACAGTGACGAAACGAGTCGGAATACAGATAAATATGTGAATCTGAATGCCATTCCCTTCCTATTATTATTATGAGCAATAACAAATAAATGCGTACTTACATTCTGTTTTAGATTGATCCTAGGTATATTATTCCAAATAATATCTTACCCTGAAGAAGGCGTATTCGCAAGTGAACGACAAGATGAGAGTCTATATCCACGTGGCAAGCTAGCTGACAATCGAAAGGTAAACATTTATAGGGAACATTGCCCAAACATGTGAGGGTATGTTTCCTTTACGGTAATACATCGATGACTATTTGCCACATGATAAAGTCCAATTTTGCTCAGTATGAAAAAGAAATTGTGTACTTTTTGCTGATGCAGTTGCTGTTCACCCACCCTCTGAAAATTGTTGATATTATTACCATTATTATTATTATATATATATATATATATATTGGGGGGTGCTGGGGGTTGGGGGCTTGAATGGTTTTTCTTCCTGGGGCAAATGCAAATCCTATATTCCTCCTACAATAAGCTAGTGGGGGAAACAATTCAATAATAATAATAGATCGACAATAGCGTAGCCATATGAGGAGGAAGGGGGGGGGGGGGGGGTGGGGGGGGGGGGGGGGGGGGGGGGGGGGGGTGGGGGGGGTGGGGGGGGCGTATGCCTCCGAATCGAATGGCGACAAAAGAGAGAAAGTGAGAATCCCAGAGTGAGAAAGACCTAGATAGATGTAGAGAGAGAGGGGAGAGAGAGATAGGGAGAGAGAGAGAGAGAGGGCGAGAGCGAGAGAGAGAGGGAAAGAGAGTAAGAGAGATCGAGGGAGGGGGAGAGAGAGAGAGAAAGAGGTAGGAAAGAGAGAGAGAGAGAGGAGAGAGAGAGAGAGAGAAGATAAGCTAGATAAGGAAATATAGGGGGAGGAGAAATACAATGAGAAAAGGAGACACAATACCTTTTGCATATTCATCGAGTATAAATTTATATTTCCAGTACCCCCTCATTAGCCATCAATGCCTGAACTCACGCCAAGCTCATGTCGATCAACGACAAATTTAAGCATCAAATAGCACTCCCGGTAAACCATCATAGGCCTACAGCTACAGGTACATCAAGACATGCTTCTGCAAGTCATTGCTGTATTCAGAGCGTACATCTGTGCATGGCTTTTCCATTCCTTCTCAAAATATGTGTTCATTCTAGGGAGTTGTCATTGCATCTTTTTTTTTATTCTGGGGCGGATCCCACACAAGGCCCCTTAAACACGCTAAACTCTTTATGCTCAGTGTTCTTTTGAAGGCATACTATGGACGGAGCACACCCCGACCCTCCTCCTAATCCCAACTCAAAATAATTGATCCTCTCATAGTTTTTAACATCCTATAGCTTAGGGAAAGAAAAAAAATGTACTTTAAGCATACTTTAGGTCCTAAATACACTTTTTACGACTGTATATATCGTTGCTACACAACTATCATTGCTCTTTTCGAAAACTACTCTTGCCTTATGATCTTTTAAAGGCCCACTGCACTACTGGTAGCTACTTACGCCATCTATAGAACAAACAATACCTAATCGGTGACCATTGGTCCCCCATGATCCTCTTTTTCTTATGTTAACTGAGAGCTGAGTTGATGAGATAACCACCTGTCCAGTGACCAGTTGTAGGGCAGTCTAATCCCTCCTGTAAACTATGGCAGATACGCTTTAAATTTGTAATTGGGGTGTCACAACTGAACCTCGCTTTTTGCAGCAAATTCCACTAATACACTCCATCGCCTCCCCCCCCCCCCCCCCCCCCCCATTTCCACTTGATTTGACATTTGATTTCGCAATCCTAGACCGTGTAATGAACCATATACCAAAAGATGTCACGCATAATGCATTCAGCGTGTTAAGGGGCCTTGTCTGGGATCCGCCCCAGAAAAAAAAAAATCGACGTTGTGTGACCTAGTAAGACTATTTGACTAATTTTTACATGTGAATATTTAAAGATAAAATTGAGTTCTGGTAAAAAAAAAAAAAAAATGAATTCTCACAGAATCAAACGAAACACTGAATGTTCAAGATTACAAATAAATGTCACTTGCCAAACAATTTTGGAAGAAAATGTATACTGGCTAAGTAATGAGCATAGAAAGATAATGAAATCAAGGTAACTAGCCCCGACACCATTTGTGTAGTCCCATATACCTCTTTCTGTGTACAGTGCTTGTTACTTTACCAAGACTGGGCCAAATTTATTATGATTTTGATGACTCCAGAGCCTTGCGGTACACACCAATACTTACACGCTACATGATCAACCTTTTCTGAACAATTCCACACCTTTTCCTTTACAACGCAATCGCATGACCAGAACTCAACTTTAATTTAGATTTATGAAATTTATCTGTGTATCCTAAGATAATCATCAGAACGGTCGTGAGATTGTGAGCTTCCAACATGTAAGAATCGCTTCAGTAGAAATAAAGAAGTTGGAGCAGAGCGTGAGAACATTCTTTAATCGTATATGGTATAATCAAAAGGCCATGTATGTTTAGGACAATCATGACTCTGCAAGATTTTATTGTTTGCAAATGACATGTGAATGTAAATATTCATATGCAAGAAGTTCTATGAACTTGCATGTGCTTCGAGATTCTAGCTCGATCGGTAGCCATAAAGGTTTTGACGTTAGCGATATCATTTGCATGTTCAAGTATGTTTATATTGTGCCATGCATGGGCAAACAATGTGGGGGGGGGGGGGTACAGAGGGTGAGAGGGGATGTACACAAAGTGATAGAAAGGTTTGATAGAAACTTAGTTGGGAGAGTCAACCCATTGCTTACTGGAACCTGATGGTTCCTGTGTTAAGACTATGGGAATTAGATAATTCGGTAGTCAACGGGTTAAGCCTCGGTATCATATTTATTATCTAATATTCCTCCATCTTCCCCATGCCTCTGCTGCAATCTCTCTCTCTCTCTCTCTCGCTCTCTCTCCCTCCCCCTCTCTTTCTCCCTCCCCTCTCTCTCTCTAGCTGGCTCATCCTTTATCCCTCTCACTTGTCGGTTAAATCTTAAAATATGATGGGCCCTTTATAGTGACGAAGATATGTTGTTAGGATGCGAGTTTACTATGTATGCCCAATATTTGGGACTATGACAACGATGACGCTATTAAGCTCAACATACTATATAATGAGGGGGAAAAGAGGGAGGGAAGAGAAAAGGGAGAAGCAGAAGAAGAAGAAGAAGAAGAAGAAGAAGAAGAAGAGAAGAAGAAGAAGAAGAAGAAGAAGAAGAAGAAGAAGAAGAAGAAGAAGAAGCTAGAAGAAAAAGAAGAAAAAGAAGAGGAGGAGGAGGAAGAGGAGGAGGAGGAGGAGGAGGAGGAAGAAGAAGAAGAAGGAAATAAATGCTAACAGTATACACATCAACAAATACACATACAACAGATCAGTTGTACATAGTCTATTTAGAATAAGTTTTACAGATGTATGAATTATACTCATAAACAACAGCTAAGCCTACCAGGAACTTCCAATACACTGCGCTACATGTAATTTTCTTTTAAGCAAACAATCATCAGTAATCTACTTGTAGAAAAGGCGCTATACAAATGTTCATTATTATTATTATTATTAGTAATGTATATACCAATACTTTTAGAGAACACCCTGTTCTCTATTTTCTCCTTGTTTAAATAAATATTGCATCAAAAGATTGAAATTTGTGGGTAAATGTACTTATTGCAATAAGAACCCCTCTCCCCCCCCTCCCCCCCCCCCCCAATCAGGAAAATTTCATTTAAAACCGTTTCATTGCCACAAAAAAAAAGTAATGATTTTGAGACTTCGGTGGTAAGCGCTTTATAAGTAACGTTTTATTGTTGTTATTATTATTATTATTATTATTATTATTATTATTATGTCAGGATCGATGCACAGAATATACACAAAAATGCATCATTTTCTTTTCTGGATCTGAATTGGTATGATCGGATTCAATCTAAATTTCACACATTTTGGGGTCTAAAATTACCTTCATAGCAATTTTAGTTCCTGAAAAGGCACAACAAAAGTCATAAATAAGAATAAGAGCGATAATTACACACTTTGAAGGCATTTGAAGTCTTAAACAAGAACTCAACTGTCCCTTTAAGCATATCCTTCGCACTCAATGTTAGACAGTACTTTTTAACTTTTATAATTAACTTTCACTTAGGAAACAAAAATGCAATTATAAACCAATGTTTTTGATAAAGTGATTGAATACAGTTTCACTTTCACGAAGACATGTCCGGATGTAAAACTTTCTCTTCTATACGAAGAAATAAACTAATAATGGATCTAAGCAATCATACGACTTATTTATAAATTGTGCAGTAATATAATTTTTTTTTATGTAATCTCGATTTGGAGCCAGAAGGGTGTTAAAGGTAAAGGCCAGTTATGGTCATGCGATTGCATTGTGAAAGAAACGTTGTGGAATCGATCAGAAAAGGTTGATCATCTAGAATCTAACATCTGCAAGGTTCTGGAATCATCAAAATGATAAGAATTTGGCCCATTCTTCGTAAAGTTACAAGCACTATACACAGAAAGATGTATATGGGACTACCCTATATCTCTCACAGACCATGAGAGAAACAAATTTACCAAATATATGAATTAGTAGGCGGTTTCCCGGCAAATTTTTATCATCATGTATTAGTCAAAACATATTCTTTCACATGATTGGTAATGAGAGCTTCCATTTCATTTTTTGAAATTGGGGCGTTTCCAATACTGGTCTTTACCTTTAACTAATGCCATTACATACAGAATAAATGCCCTTCTGGCTCCAAACGGATGAAGAAAAAAAATGTATTTCCAAAAAATAGGTTTCAGTCAAACTGGGATTCCTGGGAAACTGTCCATAGTTAAAGAGATAGTTGAATTTTGGTATAGAGGGCGCTAAACAAAATAATTTTTTTGTGTGAGATAATGAAAAAGTGAGTATCAAATTTGAAGAGCATACAATTTAAATGACAAAATCATCCTTGTTTGATCAAAATCGGTTTAGAGATGGATGAAAAATCCATAATTATAACCATTTTTAATATATCTGGAGCCCCACAAATGTTATTTTTAACGTCATAATTAGCCGCTTATATTCAGGAAACAAAAATGCAATTATATACTGACGTTTTCATCGAATTACAGTTTCACTTTCATGTCTGAATATACAACTAACTCTTCTATACAAACTAATAATAAATATAAGCATTGCCTCACGACATCATAAGACATATTCACAAATTATACAATAATACTATTTTCTATGTAATGTCTGTTTAGAGCCAGATGGGTCATTATACAGGGGCGGATCTAGCTTTTTGCCAAGAGGGGGAGTTGACCCAGTGGCGGATCCAGGATTTTCCAAAGATCGCGCAGTTTTGCTGTTTTTCTTCTTTTTTCCTCCCCCCCCCCCTTTTTTTTCTTTCTTCACTTGGCCACACAAGGGGGGGGGGGGTTTAAACTGCCAACCCCCCCCCCCTAGATTTGCCCCTGTTATATAGACATAATAAATGCAATTCTGGCTCCAAACAAATGATAATTTAATTTTTGACAAAACACATGTTTCATTCAAACTGATATTTCTGAGAAAATTGGAATCTAGTTCAGCATATCCTTTGTCTTCAAGCTTATCTGTACTAGTTTATAGGAGGGATAAGACCGCCCTGCAAGGTCACTGCATGGATAGGTGGTTATCTCATCAACTTAGCTCTCAATTAACATAAGAAAAAGAGGATCATGGGGGACCAATGGTCACCGATTAGGCATCGTGTTCTATATAGAGGGAGCAAGTAGCTACAAGTAGTACAGTGGGCCTCAGTTGCAGCTGAGCACTCTTCAAGAATATGTATGGGTATGTTTATGCTCAACTTTTTCTGGCCAGAATCAGGCATCTGTTACGCGTTTAGTTCAAAACATGGTTGCGTCCTTTCTCACTTTTGTAGAATCACCGAAAAACGGCAATCACGATCGCTGATCGTAAACTCACAAAAAGGTGCGTTTACAATTTGTAAACGCGTTTAAATGGGGTCAACGCACTGACCTCTAGTGGGTCTATGTAGCATGCACAGTGAAGGTTTGCGAATCCAATTAAGGCCACCCAGCGAGAATTGCCTGGAGGAGCCAGAAGAGTGAGCATAAACAGTACACCGTGGAACTGCGATTACGATGAGCGTTTAAGATGAGCATTTCAAATCGCTCATTCTGCCTTCAAAATTGAGCTTAAACGCACCCTATGACCTTTCAAGATGCCAAGAAAACAGAATCAAAGAATACGGCTGCCCTTTCCTACACAAAACTATATAACACATGAGCAGCATCTGCACAGGATATTAAACTCCTTTTCTTACTTGTCTTTCATATTCAATGACATTTTGATGGTCTGCAAAAGCAATACAATATTTTAAAGCATTTTGAGGGTTTTGTGACACAAAGACGTAACTCCATATTTTGCCAAAATGAGTATTTTATTTTAAAAATGTTCAGAAAATGTGGGCTTTCCAGAAAAAACAAAGACTTAACTCCACCCAACACAATGAAGTCAATGGCTAGTGAAACATAGGCTTAACTCCTTAAAGGGGCATGTTCCCCGTATTCCAGAGGGATGTCAAAATATGTACGCGCTGGCGGACGGTGCTATAGCTGCCTATTGACACCAACAGAATACGGCTCTTACGCAGATGGCATGTTCCGATAACTACACTGGGGTGTGTGCCCCTTTAAGGCCCAAGTGTTAAGTGACGCATAAACCACTTTTTCTCAAAATGGCCAAAATGGAGTTACGTCTTTGTGTCATCACTGACCCCTCGATTTGCGTGGAGGAACAGGGGAGGGATGAGGCAGCATTAACATAAAAACATTGAAAACATCCAAAAGGCTTGTCCAATTGATCATCAATGTTCACCAGGGGGGGGGGGGGAGGGGTGTTTCACAAAGATTTGAAGTCAAACTTAACTCTAAGTTGGACTTAAATATTATCGAGAGCCATTTGTAGCCTTATTTTGAAATATATTCAAAAGCAAAAATTCAAGTACTTTAGACTTTTCATAAATTCCACATCAAGAACATGAAATCTCTCATGATAATAGAAAATATGAATGATTTGAATCAACATTCTATGCCTTTTAAAATAACTTTTACAAAATATATTCAAGGACGCTAATGGCTTTCCATAATTGTTAAGTCCAATTTAGAGATAAGTTCAACTTAGGATCTTTGTGAAACACCCCCAGAAAGACAGGAACTATGGAGCATAATGGCTATCATCTTCTCCAGATATTGAATGAAGGGTTTGAGTTGTTTGATGATGTTTCCTGGCCTTCTTCCTCAATGGAAAGCACGTCTCCACCCTCAGCCATTTTCTAAAAAAAATTAACCAAAAACAAAATGAATTTAAACTAAAATTGAGCTTATAATATAATTGAACTTACATGTATACAAGTACCAATGTTTTTTTATTATATACCTATGACATTTTCTTACCATCTCCTCTACTTATCATTTGTCATAGTAAATCTATTTGAAACAGGTTACATTTGATTACAATTTTGCATGTTGTTTTGTGTATACCTACGACATTCTCTTGCCATCTCGTTTACCTATTATTTATCACAGTAAAACAACATGAAACAGGATTTCATTTGAATAGGGCGTTAATTAGGAAACAGTATAGCTGCCAAGTGCTTCTCTTATATGGTCCCACTAAACTATCAAATCTATATTCTAATTCAATGTCAAATTAATCTATCTCTAAAAACAAGCACTTGAAACCGAGGGACACTTTAATGAGTGGTTTCCTTCAATTCTGAGCTGATACTTACCCAGTATTTTTTTCCTGACATACGTAATGCTATAATGTCATAGATGATGCAATAGCTTGCACACCATGTAATAAAAGAGTGTCAGTACTGTGTTATACTCAATCTATCACTGTCAATAGTCTGTTTGATACTGACACTCACAAAATATTTTTTCTTTTGATGTACAGATAATGCAATAAAATGCTCACCAAGTAATACAAGAGGACCAATTCTGTGTAATAAATGTGAAGACAAGTCTATAGTTTCTGTCTATCTCTGTCATTAGTTTGTACGATACTGACACTTATGGTACATTTTTTCTTTTGACGAATAGATGTCTGTCCTCCCTACCCCTGGCCTCCGTGTTCTTTCTTTGTCTATATGTCTCTCTCTCTCTCTCTCTCTCTCTCTCTCTCGCTCTCTCTCTCTCTCTCTCTCTCTCTCTCTCATTTGACTGTACAGGGGCTTACCCTCTTGTAGTCTATATTTGCATCCCCTCTCATGGGTTGTGACTTCATGACGTAAGCTGATCCGGGTCTCGAGAAATGGGCGTAGTCTGATGAAGGCGTGGCCGGGTCATAATCCTTTACCTGGAGTGAGAGAGAGAGAGAGAGGGAGAGAGAGAGGGAGGGAGAGAGAGAGAGAGAGAGGACAAGCGGAAAGATAATACATGTATAAGACAGGGGAGAGAAAGATATAAATATATTCAAATAAACTAGTTTTGAAGAGATTAAAGGTAATACAAAGTTTTGATATAAGGATCATGAATTTGGTTCAAATGAACATATTAGAAGCATTTGCAATTTTACAAAATTCAATGATCGTTGCAGCAGTTGACATCGAGTCTAAAGTGATAAAAATTTAAATAGTAAACTCTTTATGTTGTATAGCTCCCTCTCATGTCAGAAAGGAAGAAGCATGGGAGATAAATAGGTGGAGAGAGAAGAAGGAGGGATAGAGGAAGAGTATGAGAGGGATGGATACATTCCCCCCCCCCCCAATATTTTGTTTAGAGTATTAAAGAGAGAGAGAGAGAGACAAAGAGAGACAGCATGGGAAGATGTAAGCGGAGAGAGAAAGACATGCAGAGAGAGTGTGTGAGTGAGTTTAGTAAGACAGGGAGGAATTGAGAAAGAGAGAGACAGAGACAGAGAGAGAGAGAGACAGAGACAGACAGACAGACAGGAGAAAAAAGAGTGTGTGAGTTAGTTTAAAGAGTCGAGGAGAAATTGAAAAAGTGAGAGAGAGAGAGAGAGAGAGAGAGAGATGAATGGACAGAAAGAATTCAGAGAGAATTTGAGAGTTGGAGAGAGGGGGAGAGAGAGAGAGAGGGAGGGTGGGGGGGGGGGTGGTGATATATAGATATATAGAAAGAGAGTACATGCACATACAAATCTTTGACTGAAAGAACAAATGCTATCATATGGACACACGCACATGATATCCTTTTACACATTAAATACTTGCCTGCATATTTCAAATAATTTGATATGTCTAGCCCAGATGACGTTCAAATGTAATTCGCTTCCAAGGGATTGAATTTCAAGCACGCACATGAAAGTGCACCGTAAATGCAAATAATAATTTTCTTTTGTATCAGCCTTCATTAAATTGCACCATACCGCCAGACAATACACAATAATATCACAAGGTAATTGTTATATTTTGAATATAAATATGTTCTCTTTATGAAGTATTCTTGTTTACATATCTTGTATTCTAAGGTATATAGACCAGTTCTAGTCATGCGATTGCATTGTGGAAGAAACGATGTGGAATCGATTAAAAAAAGGTTGATCATCTAGCCTATAAGTATTGGTGTGTACTGCAAGGCTCTGGAATCATCAAAATGATAAGAAATTTGGCTCAGTCTTAGTAAAGTTACAAGCACTGTACACAGAATGATGTATATGGGACTATACGAAAGGTGCATGATATCTATCCGGTCCAGATAGATATAATAATTTACCAAATATATCAATAAGTAGGCGGTTTCCCGGCAAAATTTGTATCATCACATATTAGTAAAAACATATCCTTTAAGCGACATTCATGCCCATCCTAGTGAGAGATTTGAGCTCTCTTTGCTAACTTGGCAGGGCTGTTCAGAATGGGCAGAATGGCTGCCGAGCCAAGTCAAACCTTGATCCATCCATACAGGATTTGATTTTCTTTGGACACAACTTGAATACTATATCATTTGACAATATTCAGTATGACTTATTCTGCATTTGGTGTTTTCTAAACAGGTGTTGAACTTAAAGACAAATCTCTCTATAATTATAATACATGTAACAGGTTCATTTACTGTGCCTAAAGGCATCGTTTAACAATGTTAAATCTGAGATGCACGGCCCTACATGTTATTAGTGTCCGTGATATGGTGTAATATTGAAGCCCTAAACAAAACGCACTTCAAAATGATCAAGAAGTGCCTCAAAAAAGTAAAAATCTTTACCGGTTTTACCATACTCGTTTTCCCTAATAGATTGTATTGTTATGAAAACCGTTTGGCAAACGGTTTTCAAAATTTGTAATTCCAATCATAAATATCTTGATAATCAGACAGGCGATCGGCTTGTAAAAGTCATGGGGTTCCTGACTATGACCTAAAGTTTTATAATTATCATTGCAGCATGAGCTAAATCCAGGATTTTGTTTCAGAATCTGAGACAAAGTTACTGGATCCCTTTAATACAAAATATAATATTATTACCCCTGCTGTAGCTGGGCTGCCCAAAATAAGGCCCTCAAACATCCAAGGAATCTCTTCCTACTGGGCACCCACTTACTTCACCTGGGTGGAGAGTGGCATATGTACATTAATGTCTTGCCAACAGGAAACGGTGCTCGAGTAAAAGTAAAACGTGGTCACTCATGCAAGCACTTGTCTATATACATGTACTTCACTTGTATGAAGGATACCAACAAGGACTACACAAAAGCCACTATAGACAGGTGGCTCTTCTTTAAGTTGCTCCAGAAAGACAGTAGAGCGCTTTCGCAAATACGACAGGGAAATTACGGCGTTAAAGCTCTTCCGTCGTGTTTAGGGAACGAACGCTATCATTGCCGCATATGATCGTGAAAATCAACAAGACAGAGAAAATTCTGGTTGGCGCATGCGCAGATTTTTTTTTTTTGCTCGCGTTTGCGAAAGCGCCTTACTATCTATAGGCGAACACTACAGAAAGGTGATCTTTTTAGATATGTGGCTACTAATAGAGGTTTTGAATGTCTTAATCTGAGCACAAATTGAATACTACACCTTTTTGACAATGTCTAGTCTGACCAGTTCAGACTTCGATGTTCTCTTGCATCCTTCTGTCGCAAAAAAGGGCCAAATGGCCTCCATCGCTGAAGCAAAATCAGCGGCTGTTCTGTGGAAGGAGCAGAAAACAATAAAATATCTAATTATGTCTTCCTGGACGCGCAATTTTTTGTTTACACGACAGCCTAGCCTACAATTGTCTGCCAAATAATTTGTAATAGTGCTCTGGCGAAAGAGACTATGTCAATAGCTCATACGTGTATAGATGTATAAATAGCTGAAATGAATATGTGCCACACACATGTACAAACGTTATCGTTAGGCACTGATGTATAGAACCCAGCAGTAGCATCTACAGAATGATCACTTGATAGTCAATAAATAAATAATAATTTATAATAATAATAAATATATCCAGATGAGCTAATGACTTGTCTCTTTCGCCACAGCACTCTTATTTTAGGAACATGGCTAGGCAGTTATGTATAAAAAATAGGCACTTGACAGTAACTGAGAAAAACAAATAATGAATTAGGGCAGGTCAAAGCTATTTTGTACCATACATTTACATGACCACCAACATCTAAGATTTTAGCACAATCATTTATTAGCCATCCTGGAGCTAAGATCAGACCAAATAAAGCAAAATAGATTTAATGTCACATTTAAGTTCAGAAATCAACAATACTCAGTAAGGTATAGCACCCTATGACCATAAATAATTTTGAAGCCCATTTACATCCAACATTTTAAATCATCATGTGATTGGTTATTCTTATGGATATTGTACATGGATTGGGATTATAAATACAAGGATTTATTCAACATTCTATGGTAAAATTGTACTCTATGGCAGCATTTCACAAGACCGTCATGGGTAAAACTTTGCCAACATCCCATTGAACACGTTGCAATGCAACGCCTACAAAATTGTAGTTTCATGTAATGATACCTGTACTCTTACCTTCATGTAAGAAGTGAAACAACATTTCAATTATTGTTTAGAAGTGTATTTTAATTGCAGTGAAACTATCTCCTTGAATTTTCAGATAAGACAGTTAAATTTTAAATGCATTGTACAATATTACAGGTACTCAAAGTGTATCATATTCAATCTGAAATTAAATGGTACATGCTATAATTGAAGGCCTTGAACAGGTAGATGATCATAAAAGAACAACAATCATACCTTCCCCTATTGTCTTGTAAGCTAAGGTTAGGCTTGGCCTCCAGGAGTTTCATTAAAACTTTGCCATGTCCCTGGAAAGCGGCACAGTGACAAGGGGTCCACAGCGTACCTCCGTTGCTCAAGTTGACATCAGCTCTGGTGTATAGAGAAAAATTACAATGTGAAATGGGGTCAAAGGTCAATCCATCTATTCCATGAAAAATGAAATGGCCTTACAGTGCATAAATGCTTGGGGGAAAAAAAAGCAAGTTATAGAACGTTTATTGTCTGTTAAAAAAGAAAAAAAAGGAAAAAGTTTTTCCCCCTTTTTGTTTTTCTATAAGACTTTTTATTTTAAACACACATGGAAAATAATGAAATGTAACTGGAGTTTATTAAATTCAGCTTACTGTTTCAAAACTTTTTGACTGGAGGGGTAAAGTTGATGTGGACATGCAGGCACAATAAACACTCAAAAGTTGATAGCTGTAAACTCAATTATCTGACAATAAACGGATAGCCGAGCACTGTGCAGTCAAAAATGCTGAAAGCAGAAACAAGAAATTGTTGTATTTCTGCGCAAAATCATCAAAAAGCCGGCAAAATTCATTTCATCGTTTTGCACATTTACGGAAAATTAACAGTCCAAGCTTTTGAGCTGGGTATACTCAGACGTTTTAAAAGAGCAAGTTTATTAGCAATATTTCATAAAATTTCTAGCCAGTTCTAGGGCCTATCTGTTGGACAATATTATATTTATAAAGGACAAATATTCATGATGGTCTGTGCCTTTTTTTTCCCTGTCAAATCCAGAGGTCTTTATGATTTTTTACGTGTCCAGACACTCCCCTCTCCCCCTCCCCCCCCCCCCCCTCATCATACATTACGAAAAATCAACCCTTTCCCCATTCCTTTCTTGTCAGAATTGTGTCTCATAGGGGGTTCTGAACCATTGATCATCATCCAATCCAGGTATTTATAAAGCGCCAATATCTAGAAGCCAAATCAAAGGCACTGATCGAGACACATTATTAATGAGGCTTTACCTGTGTTGTATGAGATACTCTGCTATATGACTGTACCCCCAGAAGGCTGCATTGCAGAGCGGCGTGAATCCATCTTGTGACTTGCGATTTACGTCTGCACCTTCATTCACCAATCTCTTCACAAGCTGGAAAAGGTAATATTGACAAATAATGGCGGTGTTTAACAGAAGTTTAACCTGCAAGATGCCAAGTATCTTCAGGATCAACGGAGTTGGAGGAGGAGGAAGTGATGGGGTAGCAAAGGTAGAGGATTAAGAGGAAGAAGAAGAAGATAAAGAAAAAGAAAAGAAGAGGAGTGGGGAGGAGAAGAAGAAAAGAAGAGGATGAAGATGAAGATCGAGAAGAAAAAATGAGGAGTGAAACTGAAAGAAGTGGAAAAAGAAGAAGAAAAGAGAGAAGATGAAGAAGGAGACGAAGAAGAAGGAGGCGAAGGAGGGGAGGAGGAGGATAATAAGGAAAAGAAGAAGAAAAAGAAGGAGAAGAAGAAGGAGGAGAAGGAGAAGGAGAAGGAGGAGGAGAAGGAGAAGGAGGAGGAGGAGGGGGGAGGGGAGGGGAGGGGGGGGGGAGGAGGAGAAGAAGAAGAAGAAGAAGAAGAAGAAGAAGAAGAAGGGGAAGAGGAAGAAGAAGATGAAGAAGAAGAAGAAGAAGAAGAAGAAGAAGAAGAAGAAGAAGAAGAGTAAAGAAGAAGAAGAAGAAGAAGAAGAAGAAGTAGAAGAAGAAGAAGAAGAAGAAGAAGAAGAAGAAGAAGAAGAAGAAGAAAAAGAAGAAGAAGAAGAAGAAGAAGAAGAAGAAGAAGAAGAAGAAGAAGAAGAAGAAGAAGAAGAAGAAGAAGAAGAAGAAGAAGAAAAAGAAGAAGAAGAAGAAGAAAAAGAAGGAGAAGGAGGAGGAGGAGGAGGAGGAGGAGGAGGAGGAGGAGGAGATGAATTAGAAAAAAAAATGGAAGAGAAGGAGGGTAAATGAAGAAAAAAACTATCTGAACTAGGGTCTATAAGAAGATAATGGGAAAAAAGTTGTTAACATGTTATCAATATAGTCTAGACCTATACAATTATTTCAATTTTGTTTGATGTCACGGACACAGCGAACATGACTAGAGACTCATATAATTACAAACAGGTCCCATTCATTCGAATTTGTGTAAGAAAAAATACATTCCCATCCCAAGCTCCACTGCAATAACCGATTAAAAGTGGTTTTTCCCCAACAAATGTTAAATTATACAACATCAAAATGCACATACATGAATGGTTTATCTCAAACATCACATATAGACAAATAAAGTATTAATAAACGAGAAGGAATGCATGAATTACATACGTTCAAATCGCCACTAGCTGCTGCTGTTGCCAGGTCACAGGACGCTGCCATTTTAATTAATCGACTAGTCTTCATTCCTAACTGACATGTACATTTTTTCCATTTTGTTTTGATTTAGTTTGTGTATTTGGTTGTTTGAGGATAATTCTTATATATCAGATTGATTTCAATAAATTAATGAAATTAGATTGGACTTAGTATATTTTTCAATTTATGTCACGGAAGTCTAATTTTGCTATTATTCATTCAGGTCTGAACTCTTCAGCCTTTATGAGATGATCTTTAAATACCCAAGGAACACTATTTTGCATTGAAAAAAGATGGACATTTTAAGGAAAAATTATTTCCCGGCACTAACGAATAAAAGCGGTTTATAGCAAAAACCCGGCATCCCAACCCCATTGAAGTACAAACAAACAAAAAATTCACAGAAAGCCGGCTCTTTTTCCTCAATGTTCTGCAAACTTTTATGAACATAATTATGTAGCTTAGGCACTCATATTTTATTTTTAGTAACGTATGAGCGATACTGTTCATGGTGGAGATGTTGAATTGTAGATTATGAAGTCTTCAAGTTTGTAGGGTTACACCAGGTATATGTAATGAATAACAAGATACCAGCACATCCTGCATGAAAGCTATATTTTCAGCATAGGTGAAGTGGTACCCGAAACAAAAAATGGAAATATAAACTCCCAATCCGGTTACGGTATTTACTTTGACCTTGAAGTTCAATTAGGGCCTTTCACCCAGAGTATTCAGTTCAAGTTCCAATGGGGGATCCAGAGTGGGGGCATGGCGGGCACGCCGGTCCCCATCCCTGGCAAACAAAATGAAGAAGTAAAAAATAAGATGATAACCGAGATACATGCACACATAATGCAACAACCCTCTAATATAATATTATTATATATAAATACACATTGTTGAACCACTCTCGGCTTCTTGGCTCTATTGTATTAGTACTCTGTATATTATGTGGCCATATTCTGAGTTCACGCCAGGCTTTATTATTATTGTCGATACGTGGGTATAAAGGAAAGGACAGCGGAAACAAAACAACTCACAATTGTGTTGGGATCGCCTTCCTTTTCCGAGGTCAGAGTATATACTGTTCTCGAGAAAGTTTATATTTATACAATATATTCGCCTTCAACTTTGGTGTCCCACCTTCCTTGTGCATATTGGACATCTATGAGTCATCGTGGTTATGATAATACACATGTATCATACTTCTTTATGGTGTATTTTTATAGTGTGATGGTTTGATGGTTTGATGGTGTATTCTACCAGACTTTTAAGACAGCAGTTGTATGCATGTTAGAAAGCAAACAGGGAACCGACGGCTTTAAGTCCTCTCTGAGGGACTATCCAATGAGGATCAATTTTACCAAAGGGCAATAGAGCATCCACTTGGCTTCGAACCCGGAACCTCCCGGTTACGAGACCAGTCCGCTCTATCTACCACTGAGCCATTAAAATTGTGAAGCGCATACAATTTGTAGATTTACTTTTTTACCCAGCCGGCAGAAGCAGTGGCTATTAGAAAGCTTGTACGATTTCGCCTTTTTTGTTAGCGCCTTGCCGTTTTGTAGTTTGTTTGTGTTTTTCTCGTTTGTGTTGTTGCTGTGTGCGTGTTAACAAAATGAATTTCAACGTCTGTCACGGTCATCCTCCGTAGGTCTTCCCACGTAACGCTATAGCAACAAATAACTTTATCAAAGCGTGGGTTCATTTTTTTTGGAAGAAAACAAATAATATAGGCAACCACAATAAAAAGGTGTTAAAGCTATTTCAAAAGCAAACAATATATTCCATATGTGTTATTTGTATTGCCCGATTACATGCTAAAGAAAAGCACCAGAAAGCCCTCTTATTCTATAAGATGTGAAGATTCCAGTGGTGCATTCGCTATATAGTGGTACTGAAGCCCCCCCCCCCCCCCCCCCCAAAAAAAAAAAAAATAAAATAAAATAAATAAATAAATAAATAAATAAAAAATAAATAAAAATAAATAAATAAATAAAAATAAAAAAATTAAAAATTAAAAAAATATATATATAATATAAAAAATAACAACAACAATACTACGTGTAGTGAGTCTACGTTACGAGCAACGTATCATCTTCTCTCCCTCCCCCTAACCCTCCACGTCTAGAAACATAATTCCGCCCCTATGTTTCTAGATGTCTGGATACACCACTGATCAAACAATAGATTCAGAGAAAACATCAATGTGGAAAAAAGCCCGACACTGTTACCAGCATTATCAGACCAAATATATCAATTAGTAGGCGGTTTCACGGCAAAATAATTCATCACGTGTTAGTCAAAACATATTCTTTAACATGATTAGTAATAAGAGCTTCCGTTTCATTTTTGGAGAGGGGCCGGGACGTTTCCAAAAATGGTCTTTACCTTTAATGTAGAAGGCACTATTTATTAAAAGCACATTTTTGTTGGTATTGTCTTCGTTGGTTATATTGTTGTTTTACATTTAATTGTGCTTATTTCGCTTTCTGTATATGCCTATACAGCACGGATGAGGTTATAAACCTTCCCCTTTTCTGCTAACATGGAAAGCAAAACTCCTGCAATGGTGATGACGTCGTGAGACCATTATCATTTTGCGCTTCCGTCTCTATCTGATTCGATGGTTTTACCAGTGGCCTTTAGTGACTCCAATTTCAGTTCTCATTTTAACCCCGAGCCATGTTCAGCCGACAATGTGTCTGTCTTTGTCATTCGTCTACATATGGTGAAAACACTGCCAGCTTTGGACTAAATTAGGTGATGTATCATTGAGCGAAAAGGGAGAGAAGCCAGGCTTTTAGAGCTGGATAGATTTCCATGCCAGGAACCGGTGTATTTAGCATTGTATTTGGGCGGACAGAACGCACTTCGTAATTTTGTATCATCGGTTGATTAGACTGTGATTATCATTAGATCAGTCATTTCGTTGAACGTAAGCTGGCTGGCTAATGGGCGGTGCTTCTGTAGTAGGAGACAGCAGAGTCTCATGTTGGAGATAGTCAGAGTAAATCTACAAACGGTCTTTTTGCAGACTTGTGTTTTACTTCAACTCATTTAGCAAAATTTGTTTGCGAGTATATCATAGTCGCGGTGCTCCAAATTTCTGTTGCATTTTGGTCTTCATCGCAAATGCGTCATCAGACATCGACATTACAAGAAAAAGTTGGCCTATAACTTCAGGACATAGGCAGAATACATCTATATAAAACACCGGCTTCTTGTGAACTGAAAGCAATATAACTTTGTAAGAAGACTTGAATTCGGTGATCAACTTCTTTGTTGTTTTTGACGTGTTCACAATCTAGACAAAATGCATCATCACAATTTTTTACTCGTCGTCGTCGTCATAGCCGCGTTCTGCGCCTCGATGATGACGGGCGAAGCTGCGGTTGTCATGAGTAGCGATATGAGTCCGGAGGTTCAGTATAGAACGAAGTCGAGGGCGAGTCTCGATGATGACAGAGGATACACGGACATCGTCGTCGCGATCGACCCGAGTCTTGATGAAGCGGAATACCCGTCTCTCATGGAGGATATCAAGGAAAGTTTCAAGAACGCGTCGGCGTTTCTATACAAGGCAACCAAGTAAGTCGAGAGGCACATAACTTAGTGAACTTTGTGTATCATTTCATGTCGATGTTTTTTTCTCCTTCTTCATACATGCATAAAACGGGGTGCATAAAGTGTCCTGCGGATTCTTGGAGGGGGAGTGGGTGGGGTTGGGGGGGGGGGTGGGGGGGGGGCACTCCGCTAACTTTAAGAGGCACCGTTTAACAATGTTAATTCTGATATGCCTGGCCCGACGTGTTATCAGTGTCTGTGATAAATTATGGTGTAATATTGAAGCCCTACAAAAAAGCGCTTTAAAATGATCATGAAGTGCCTCAAAAAAGTACAAAACTTTGAGTGACCGGTCTTACCATAGTCATTTTCCCCAATATAAAAAACCGTTTGGAAAACGAAAATGAAATTTCGATTTCAAATCATAAATATCTTGATAATCAGACAGGCGAACGGCTTGTAAAAGTCATGGGATTCCTGACTGACCTAAAGGCTCAATCATTATGATTGCAGCATGAGCTAAATCCAGGATTTTGTTTCAGAATCTGAGGCAATGTTACCGAGCTCTTTAACCATATAAGGGCGGATTCATGAATGTTGAACGAGATAATCATAAGAACATATTATTCCTCCGGTGGGCATCTTCTTTTTCTCCTAAACAAAAAGGAGGGGGCGTGGCACCCTTTGGTCGCACCATTAGATCTGCCTATATATACCTCATTTCTAAATCGTCTCAAAGCGACTGTTCAGCAGATAAATATCTCTCCTCTGTGTAATTCACTTTCTCGTAAACTTATTGGAAAAGATTTCGAAGAAAATGACTTCACTGACATGCCCACATTTATCAAGAAGGATACTAAATGATAATAAATTATTGTAATGCACTATCGCATAATTATTACTTAAAGAGAAGGTTGAGTTCTGAGAAGAGGTGAACAATAATTTGTAAGCGTTATCATTGTATTATACACGTGTGGAAGAACATCAGATACAAAAATATTCTCTGAAAACTGAGCATGGCTCTTCATAATTATGCCTAAATATTCTAAATATGGCATGTAACATCATAGCAATCGGGACGGATTTTTATCCACGTGTTCGTGTGGTCACGTATACATATTTATGTGTATTACAATGCTTGTAACTTTACCGAGACTGTGCCAAATTTATAGTAATTTTGATGATTCCAAAACTTTGCAGTACACACCAACAGGCCTACTCACATGTAAATCATGTGCTAGATGCAGGATCGACCTTTTGATTCCACAACGTTTCTTTCACAATGCAATCGCATGACCAAAACTCAACTTTATCTTTAAAGAGACATAGAAAAGAAGGTTGGGTTGTGGGAAAGGGCGAACAATAATTTGTGAGATCATCATTCTTTTCTTTTAGTTTGGAAAATATTGTAGAAATATATTGTAGAACAAATTTTTCGTGAAAAACATTACTCTTCAAATGTTCTCAGAATTATTTATAAGTCAAGAAATAGCTGGAATATTCGGTCCAGAGACGTCCATGCCACTCATATATATAGTTTCATATAATACATTTCTATGTATAGCGCATATGACTTCAAATTATTTTTGTTGTTGGGTTTTTGTTGTTGTAGGTCTGCCTCCAGTATTTAAAGAGCAATTGTGAATGTCATTTTACAGAATTTGTTCAGATTTCTGTG